GGTGCTATTCTTTTGGTAGCTGGGCACTATCAGCTTTCTATTGACTATTTACTATAGTAGGAAGAAAGGCCTGGTGACCTCTTTCAAAAATCAACCAATGAAAACCCTACATCTCACATTCCCACTTGCAAGCCGTCATGGGGAGGGGGCTGGAGCTGGACCAAGCAGTTGTGGGCCGCCCACTGTTGAGTTGGGGAGCCAGGTGGATGGCAGCTACCACCACCACCTACTACTATACACACTTACTGCTCCAGAAATCACGAAATGAGTAAGTCAGACAACCCCCTCAACTTCACACTCTTAACTGGGATAACACAGAGAATACAAATTCATTCAATGGACAGTGAAAGTGGAAGGAAATGGGATGCCAAACACAGCTTCTTAAGATAACGGGAAAAATCTACTGCCATCAAGTGAACCCAGGGCTGAACTCTGCCCTCTCTTGCCTGGGACTTGGATAACAGCTCCTGTCTTTCTGCCTCTTTTCTCCTCACTTCTAATTTCCTCCACGCAAAGTGATGCTCCAACCTAGAATCCATTTGTCTCACAGTCCCATTGCAATGAGGAGCGCTCCTTCATTAAGGAACTGTTCAGAGAATGAAATAACGAACCAGAACAACTCCCCTAATGAGGGAAAAGAAACAGTGCACAAGTTAAAACATAAAGCCCAAAACAAACCCACTGCCGTCCAGTGGATCCCAACCCAACCTACAAGCCTGCACAGGGTTTCCAAGCTGGACATCCTGGTCTCATCTTTCTCCCAGAGCCAGGGGTTAGCAGTCTAGCCTGACCCGACAGCCCCACCACGGACCTCTTCTCTCCATAGTAAGTCAGAAAACAGGAGCTTTGTAGAAAAAGGGCGGGAATAATGGTAGGGGTGTGGAGAAGCTGGTGTTCAGGCGGCAGTACTTTTAAATGCCTCACGTTATCTGGTCCTGCTTAACCACCTGCCTCAAGGTGTCCCAACTTGCTTCGGTGCCCCACTTGCTGACCTCGATTCTCTTATCAGAGGTGTGCAGCTAGGTTCCTCCTGCCTAAACCACTTCCCTCCGCCATCTACTCCTGTCTCATTTGGCGCTCCTTTTAGGCAAATGCCTCCCGAGTCGTCCATATTTGTCTCCTAGGCTTTCATAGGGCTATCCTCACCTGTAAAAACACATCACATCTTTATCTTACATCACATCTGTATGTTTATTGTTTGTAACGTCAGCAAGTTCCAGGCGGAAAACTCCGAGAGCAGTTTCATTTGGCTGCAGATTCCGCACCTAGCACGCAGTTTGCATGCTTCAGGGGGAAAAGCCACCAAACACCTGGCGTGGAGTCGATTCCCTCTAGGGCAGGTTGGAACGGCCCCTGTCACGTGGCGAGACGAACTTTTTACGGGGCAGAAAGTGCCCGCTGGCGCCCGCGGAGCGGCAAGTCTCGAACCACCGATCCCGAGGCCAGCGTAGCGCCGCGGCAAAGGAGCCGCCGCAAGGAACCGGAAGTGCTGCCTTGTGGCTTGAGTTCGCAAAAGGGAACCCCGGGGACGCCAGGCAAGCCGGAAGTGCAGTGTGCCGTTCGCAAAGCGAGGACGGAAGTGCCCGCGGAGGCTGCCGGGAAGCGTGGTTCTTTTTCTTCCGGCGGGCATAGCGCGCCCCTTGTCGCTAGTGCGCTTGCGCCGCCTCCGTAAGCCAAGGTCGGGAACATGGCTGCGGGCTCCCTGTGGGCGGTCCAGCGGTGGGTGCAGCGCCTTCGGTCCTCCGGCGCCGCGACCTACCGCAGGTACACGGGGCGGGCGAGGTGCAGACCGGGAGGCCGGTGCGGCCGGGCCGGCGGCGGGCGGATGTGACGTGGGGCCAGGCTCCCTCAGCGCGCGCGGGAGGGCCCGCCAGGCTTGGCGCCGGGCGTGCTCGGCCCCGTTTTACAGAGAGGTAAACTGAGGCCCGAGGGCGTGGCCTCGGAAGTGGGCGAGCACGGGCTAAACGGGAGGCGTTCTTCTCCCCCGCCCCTTCTCCGCACCCGGAGGCGGTACGGACACCCTCGGGTGCTTTCGGCCGGAGCCTACCCTCCTTCCGGGCCCCACTCCACCTGTCAGTAAAGGCCAGGCTGGATCTTGGACTTGATTTTCCGAAGGGCCTTGCCCGCTGCCCTCTCGCCCGCGACAGCCCGCAGCGGCTTTATCTTTCAGTGATTGCCTACCACGCGCCGCCGGCCGAACTGGAGACCGTGCTTTTCCGTATTCTCCATTTAATCGCCGCGGAAAAGCAGGCTTAGAGAGGCACAGTGGCTTTTCCAAATTTAAGCGCACGAGAGCTGGGAGCTCCCAGCTTGGAAACCAGTTCTTGCCTCCGTAGTCGAGGTTTTCCGTGACTGGTGACCCATGCCGGTTAAACTCCGGGGCTAGTCTCAAGAGAATAGAAGGGACTGGGTGTTGGGGGACCTTGTGTTGAACGTCAGCGATGTAGATGCACCCTGAATTGTATGGCACTTTTTGTTTTGAATTCCCAATCCTAGCTACTAGCCTTTGTGCCCCCTTAGCTGACTTGAGTGCCCCCACCCCAGCTATGTCCATTGCCCGGGTCAGCAGCATGCCAGCTAACTATGGGGCCTTGGGTACTTACACACCCTGAGCTTCTGTTTGCATATTTGGAAGCAGGAATGACAATAGCATTAATCCCGTGTTGTGAGATAGAGAGAGAGAATCCCAGTAAAAGCCCAACAACGCATATGGCCACAGTAAGCATTTCCTAAGTGTTTGTATGGTTATCCCGTGTTTTAAAAAAATTGAAAGCACTTTCTGAGGAGGAGGGGTAGGGAACCTTTTTTCTTCCAACAGTCATCCGGATGCTTATAACAGCACTCGTGGACCATACAATATTATCAGCCAAAAAATTAGCCTGCTATCGGTGGTCAAACATTTCATTAACATGCCCAAATGTGAGGGCTTGAACTGCTTCTCCTTGGTGAGGCCGGTGATGTTAGCTGGCATTGATTTTGATACGGTCTGCGCACGGGACATTCCCCACCCCAGCTCCAGAACGTGGGTTCCCAAATTTATTTAGACACCCTCCCCATTTCCCCTCAGGTACAAAACAAACAAAACTCAAGTGCTCTGGCAATGAAATGCTGTCACAGTACAGCCCATAATCCAGGTTAAAGTGTAGGTTTCTGCATCTGTAGCCCGTCTGAGTATCTCCCACTTTTGGAAACACTACGCTGCAGACTCAATCTGGGCAGATTTCTGGTCAGTAAACCTCGGTGTGCCTGTGGGTTATTTATGATGGCATTTCCTCGCTTTGTCTTGTGCCTCTTGCCTACTTTAGGGGATGGCTGCATCCTTTCACCACTGCCACCCAAAGGACCACCGGTGAGGACTGCAGCTCTGAGGACCCTCCCGATGAGCTGGGGCCTTCTCTGGCTGAACGAACCTTAAAGCTAAAAGCTGTTAAACTGGAGAAGGAAGTTCAGGACTTAACAGTGAGTCGAGTCCGGGTGGGGCTGCTCTTCAAGGGAAAAATTGGGTTGTCGGCTTGAGAAAGGATTTAACAGCCACAGAGACCTGCAGGCCAGTTCTACTCTGCAGTTCCGGGTCGCCCATAGTCAAAATCGACTCAGTGCCGATGAGTGTGGGTTTTTGGTTCTGAGAGTTTAGACGGGAGCCCTAGTAGTCCAGTGGTAAAGATTCCAGCCTTGGGGCCTCCATAGGGCTGTCTACTCTGCTTTGGGGTCTCTATGAGTGAGAATTGACTCGGCAGGTATTTGTTTGGGTAGATTTTTATCCGGTGGTCTTCACATCCTCTCCATAGTTTAAGTATCAAAGTAAAGTTTTAAAAATTAAGTTTCCTCTAAATGTCTCTTGAGCTTTCCTTCGCCTGACCTGTACTCTCTTGTTCAAATAAGTACATTATTCAAAATCATCTGCACTGGTTCATAAGCATGACTGACTAAAGACAGTGGTCTCCTTTCAGTCCCTTGTTGTATGTGAACACCAGGATGTGGACATTTGACAGGTTCAATGCTTGGCATGTAGTAGACAGTAAATATCTGTTGAATGAATGAGGTGATTGACCAGTCTGCTCTACTGGTTAGAGCACATCTGGCAACTGTGTCCAGTCCTGGTTTGACAGACATACCATATATACTCGAGTATAAGCCAAGGCACCTCATTTTACCACAGAACCTGCCTTAAAAGTGTGCTGAAAAACTCGGCTTATACACTAGTGTATACAGCACTTTAAGACAGCCATACTTAAATAGAAGTTTTCCAAACCAAGACTGCGGTGGAGTTGGAGTTGAACCTTACTCAAAGAATTGGTCTTAGCCGACCAGATCTTCAGGCATAATCCTTGACACACTGGAATTTCCCTAATGGTTTAATTGTCCTTGATGAGGACTCTAGAACTGACAGGGGTGCCTCTGGGGTGGCAGAGTGGCCGGAAGGTCTTACCTTACCTCTTGCATGATATCCCCATGGTGCTCAGGCGACAGCCCCAGGATGACATGGCCAGAGAAACCCACCTTGTGATCTCCTCATAGTAATTGGCCCACCTCAGGAGAAAGGGGCTGGAGTTTGTATTCACTCAGGAGCCCCAGTCCCACCCCAATAAAAGCTCTGGACACTGAAGCTTCGCGGGCCTCCTGGTTGGTGAAAACATCAGTGCACATGGTAAAGTAGCACGTCCTTTGGGGGGATTTGAAAGCTGATGCCAGGGACTCAAGTAGAAAGAAAATGTTTTGAAAAAGATGATGACAACATATGTACAGATGTGTTTGACAAAATGGATGAATGTATGGATTGTGATAAGAGCTGTAAGAGCCCCCAATAAAATGATTTCTTTTAAAAAGAAAGTTCTATTTTGAGAACACTCCCAGCCCTCACTGTATGCATCTCTTCTTTATGCTGAGCCTGCATCCTTTATAATGATGCTCTAATTGTAAGCAAAGCACTTTCCATGTATTCTGCGATTTGGTCTAGTAAATTATCAAAGCTAAGGGAATAAGTAGTTCCAGCCAACAGGTCAGAAAAGGGATGCAGGGGACCCCTGAGCTTATGGCTGTTATTCTGGGAAGCCCTTGAAATTTTTTTTTTTAAATAAATCATTTTATTAGGGCTCTTATAACATCAGTTGTATCAAGCACATTTGTACAGGTTGCCATCATCATTTTCAAAACATTTTCTTTTTACTTGAGCTCTTGGTATCGGCTCCTCTTTTTTCCATCCTTCCCCCATCCTCCCACCCTCATATATATAAACCCTTGATAAATTTTAAATTGTTTTTTTATGTCTTACACTGACTGCTGTCTCCCTTCATCCGTGTTTCTGTTATTTGTCCCCCTGGGTGGGGGGATTATATGTCGATCATTGCGATCAGTTCCCTCGTTCTCCCCTCACCTTTCCCCTACCCGCATGGTATAGATACTCCCATTATTGTTCTTGAGGGGCTTATCTGTCCTGGATTCCATATCCTTATCTCTACCAGTGTACGTGCTCCAGTCTAGCTGGATTTGTAAGGTGGAACTAGGGTCATGATAGTAGTTAGGGTGGGGAGGACATTAAAGAACTAGAGGAATGTTGTGTGTTTCATTGGTGCTATACTGCACCCTGGCTTAGGGAATGTCCACTTGTGTCCAGATGGGCTTTGGGTCTTCTGAAAACTTATACCTGATCCTGTCCATGCCTTATGATCACATAGGCTGGTGTGCTTCTTCCATGTGGGCTTTGTTGCTTCCCTGCTAGATGGCCACTTGTTTAACTTCAAGCCTTTAAGACCCCAGATACCGTATCTTCTAATAGCTAGGCACCATCATCTTTTTTCACCACATTTGCTTATGAGCCCATTTTTGCTTCAGCGATTATTTCAGGAAGGTGAACATCACAGAATGGTAAGAGTATTAGGAAAAAGTGTGCTTGCATTGAGGGAGGACTTGAATTTGCAGCCAGCAGATCAGAAATGAAGGAGCCTGGGGAGCTTAAGGCTGGCGGCCTAAAGGAATTAGGCCATATCCAGTAGATGAGAACCGAGGAGAGACCCAGGGAATCCCAGATGTCTGGGAAGTCTTGTGTCAACTTGGCAGTCCTTGGACAGTGTCCTTGTTTAACTGTGACATCTGACCTAGCTCTGGCTGGCTAGTCAGAAGGAAGTGCTGTGTGTACAGCCGGTGTCAGAGTCGGGGTTTGTTATCGCCTCATAAACTCCCATGCTGGCAGGAGTAACGAGGATTGACAACGCCAGGTTTTGTAAGCCTGACAGAGAAAAGGACTAAAGGGACTTAAAAGAGCAGAGACATTTTTAATCTTGTTCTCAGTTGACCTGGAGTCGAGCTCAGTGACAGAAAGTCGGAGGGAGGCACTGTTTGCCGAACGGGACGTGGAAGGCTGTTGACACTTAAGACGCCGAGCTGTCCTTGCCAAGAATTCACAGTAGCCGGGCATGTGGCCCCTTCCACTGCTAACAGTGGGTCCCTGATTTGCCTGGGATTTGGAGTAGCTCACCTAAAAGTCCAGCAATCCTCATGTTGTTCTGTTTACAAAAACAAATCGCAAAGACAAAAGTTGTAAACTGAGCAAACACATTCCCGCCACCAGTTAGCATGCAGTATCATTTGGATTCTGCTTTCCATGTTCAGGTGAGATACCAGAGGGCCGTGGCCGACTCAGAAAACATACGGAGGCAAACCCAGAGATGTGTAGAAGACGCCAAGATGTTCGGTAAGTGAGGGATTGACGCACAAAGTGAAAATACCTTCCCATGTAAAGGACACGCAGTAGCAGCCCTGTAGACGCAGCATATTCCAACCATTTCTAGGTCTCATGAATCCCTGGCCTCCTCTTCCACTGCCTCCCACACTTCCTGTGCCTACTGCTCAGGAGCATGGCAACCCAACTCTTTCCAAAAATGCTATTCTTACCCTGGTTACTTTGACAAAACAAGACATAGTTGATTATTTCCTTTCCCGAGTGCTTACAGTTACTGCAGGCTGCATTGTAGTGCCTGTACAAGTAATTCTCTTGGACCTGTTCATGTACAAGTGAATCACTCAGGTGTGCACAGGAGAATTCAAGAACCAAAATTGGTCTGTATCCACGGGACAGGAATGAATCAGCTGTACCCCCACAATTTCCACTGTTGCAGACTAAGCTCATTTGCATACTCTCAGTAATCTGTGATGTACCAAGCGTTCATTTCAGGGTCTTTTACTGATTTTTATTTTCTTCTATACACACCACATCTCATTTAAAAGATCTTCATGAAAGTGTTAGTTGAGTAACAAAGAGTCAAGAATAAAGGCAGGTATGTTATTACTTAGTGCAAGCATAATTTACTAGAAGCGTTTACTTTCTATCAGGACACATAGAATCAGAGGGTTTGAGAGGGGCCCTTGGTTGTATCTAGTCCAGCCCCCAGCCAGTGAAGGTGAGCTGATGAAGAGTTAGGCGATGACAAGCCTAGACCTGCATCTGTTGTCTCCTGGCCCCTTAGCTGTCATTCTTTAAGCTGTGTGACACTGCTTCCTGGGGTCTGGGTTTTTATCTGCTTGTTGTGCGTGGAATTTGTTCCACTTCTGCTTACCCCCCATCCCCACCCCCGTGCTTTGTCTCTCAGAGCTGTGTAGTTCCTTCCAGGGCTTCACACCTCAGCTAAGTGCTGGGAGCTGCTGTCTAGTGGGCCCTGACTCAGTAGCCCATGGACAACAGAATGAAATGCTGCCCATTTGTATGCCATCCCACGATCTGTTGGGAATCACACTATTGAGATCCACTGGGTTTCCATTGACTGAAGTAGCTCACCAGGCCTTTCTTCCTAGTTCATTTTAGTTTGAAGCTGCTGACACTTGAGCGGCATCACAGCAACATGAAACTGACCCCTGACAGATAGGGGCCGAGCACCAGGCGCAGTGGCTGGGGATCCAACCCAGATCTCCCACCGGGGAGGCGAAGCTCCTCCCTGGGCCACCCTGCCATGGTACTGACAGAGGCTTCTGTAACTATCACATGCCTCATTTGTCATTTCAGAAGGATAAAAAGGCTGGGAAAATGGGATTTCTCAGAAACTGGATTTGTTTTTATCTTGTAATTGTGTGTGGCTTTCAAAAGGGAAATATATGGTGCAGCCCAGCAAATGTAGCAGGCATTTGGAGACACACCTCATGTATGGATCTTGTTTATTTACCATTCTTCAAGAATAAACCATACTTGCCATTATCACCATAGGAGCCCTAGTGGTGTAGTTGGCCTATGTACTGAGCTGCTGCCCCACAAGGCCCAAGGTTCAAACCCACCAGGTGCCCCAAGAGAGAAAGATGAGGCTGTCTATTCCTGTACAGATTTAAAGTCTCGAAAACCCTAAGGGGCAGTTCTACCTTGTCCTATAGAGTCACTTACATAACAGCATCGACTCAAAGGCAGTGAGTTTAGTATTACCGCCATCTTTTCCTAATCATGCCCCTCCCCCAGGAAATAGTAATATCTAAACTTTTTTTAACCCCTTCACCTTTTCAGAATACATGCCGTAGCACACCTGAGGCAGATATTTTCAAAATGTACATAACCAGTACTAATGGAAATAGCAAAAAATATCTATGAAAGCCATAAAAAGTCACTTTTACGAAGCATAGTCTTACCTATTTTAGTTCTACCTGCCTTCTTCACTTCCTTATAGGACCCTAATGGAAACATTGGTTGGATGGTTGGATTGGGGACTAGTCAGTGGTGACTCCGGAGCCCTGTGTGGTAGTTACCCTGCCTTCTTCCTGGGTTGTCCAGTATATACCCAGTGTACTTCGGCCCACCTAGGTCTTTCCCAGCCTCTGTTCCCAGGGAGGCCCGCATCAGGAGTGATTTCCTCACAAGTAATAAGTGTTTGGTTTTCCATAGGCATCCAGAGTTTCTGTAAGGACTTGGTGGAGGTAGCTGACATTTTAGAGAAGACGACAGAATGCATGTCTGGAGACACAGAGCCTGGGGACCAGAAGCTCACTCTAGAGAAGGTCTTCAGAGGGTTGTCACTTCTAGAAGCAAAACTGAAAACTGTGTTTGCCAAGCATGGCCTGCAGAAGATGACACCCATTGGGGACAGTTATGACCCTCATGAGCATCAACTCATCTGCCACGTGCCCGCTGGTGTTGGGGTACAGCCTGGCACTGTGGCACTGGTAAGGCAAGATGGCTACAAACTGCAGGGCCGCATCATTAGACTCGCCCAAGTGGAAGTGGCAGTCGAGTCCCGCAGAAGACTCTGAGTGGGCCATCAGGAACTGAAACGTCTCCAGAGTACAGCCACCTGTGTTTCCGTTATTTATTGAACGAGGTTTGTATTGTACATGAGGTACTTCAGGTGCTGTGCTTTGGATTTAGTCACATTGGCTTTATTTCTAAGCTGTTCTGTTGATGTACTGTGACCTGTCTGGTCTCGTCAGAACCCTCGCCAGAACCCTCGCCGCTGGGCACTTGAGTAGTGTGACAAGGGTTCCTATGGCCTTTTCTAAATATGTGTAAGGAACTTGTTTTTAACGTGGTACTCACATGACTTTGAATCAAAATCGTTTTAAAAGGTGGAGATAAGTATGTGTTTCTGTATTCTCAACTCAATATTCCTTTCTAGTGGCCCCTAAGATAAGAATTAGTTATGCTCTTGTAAAGAAAGGAGATAGGGTTTAACATTGGTTCAACATTTGGTACTTAGCTGATACACTTTCTAGTTGTATGAATGTAGATCCTCTGGGTTGGTTTGTGGTACAGACAGCATTTTAGGACTTGCTCTTTTTATTCCTCTTAGCCTTCTGCCCTTGTTGCCTCTTCCAGGTAGGCTTCGAATTCCATCCCTGCCCATACTCACCTCTTTCCACTTGCCATGTGCAAAGGCCGAAGGCCCAGGCAAGATCTGAAGAGAGGAGAAGCTTGAGGAAGCCAAGCGACTCCGATACCTTTCAGGCAAGGGTGGCCAAGAGTCGGGTGCTTGCTTTGCTCTGAGTTCTGTAATCACTTGAGGAGAATCGAGACAACACTCACAGCCAATGACATTGTCCTTGACCCAGTTTCTCGTTCCAGCAGCCCTGACATCTCCAACTCTTACCAGATTTCCCCGATGATCCATTACAGAGTATGTAGGGGGTCGGTCATCAAAACAAAAATGGCAGATACCTCACATTCTCCTAATTCCATTTAGTTATGTTGAGCGTTTTTTTCCTGTCCCCCTCTTGCCTTTGTATAAACATCTAGTTCCCCCTTTTATGTATTAACCATCTAGAGTGCAGAACCATATGTGGTTTATTATTTCAGTCTTGTAGCTTGCATTCTATAAAAATTCGTTCGAAAAGTGGGTTTCTGAGTGAAAAGCCATCGTTTTAAAGAGGTTGGTTTGGATAACGTCTGTTAAAGCAGGT